AAGAAGAAATTTATTATTTAATTTAAAAATCTAAAAAGTTTATATTTTTAAATAGATTAATAGCAAAGTTGTCATATTTATTTATTTATTATCTTCTCAAATTATGAGATTTTCATATTTTATTATTTAAAAATTATTAATTTGTAAATTCCATAATTCCCTTCTGCAGGTTCCACGTTGGGTTGGGGAGGCAGTAAAAAGTCCAGGCTAAGGCAAAAACATTTGTGTGAGAGATGATGTGACAAGGATGGGGCTCACAAGAAAGGGTGGGAAAAAAAAATAACCGGTGTGATCGTTACACTTAACTGTCAATAAACAGCACCGTTAGTTACAGTGGATGGAGGGACGACATTGGGGTGTTTCTGCATTGTACAGGGATGACAAGTGGAGTTAATCAATAGTAGAGGTACGACATGAAGCCAATCCATAGTAAAAGGTTTAGAATGCACTATTTTTAATAGTAGAGGGACAATAGATGGCCTTAATCCTTAAATTAAATAATATAATTTTTAATTTTTTAATATTATAAAATAGTTATTTACAAGTAGCTTACAAGCTTAACATGCAGGTTCGAATTTAAACTTGATTACTCGTTAAGCTTAAAATTAAGTTCAAGCTCAATTCATTTAATAAATAGATTGAGCTTAAGCGAAGTTTAAATCAAATTGTTTAGTTCATTTACAGTATTATTTCTTAATGGAAGTTTAATGGCCCCCGTTAATCTTTTCTGTCAAAAAAAGGGGATTGCTTTTGCAACTGGTGAGCTACAAGAGTTTCATTTTTTGCCCTTTCTTAGTTCAGTGACTTAATTTTTGGCCTAATAATAAGTTCAAGGGTGTAAAACTAATCCGGAAGTGAGTTTAAGAATTAAGAGCTTAAATAATAATTATCCCCACGAAGGGATTGAAAACTTCCACTTCTTTATTTGGAAGATAGTGGTTCAACTATTAATTCAAACAGTATATCAATAATGGTTACTTTTTTAATTTTTTATTTTTATATTTTAAAATAATTGTTATTTTTAAATTTTTTAAATTAAACATTTTAAAAAAATTATATTTATTTATAATACATTTAAAAAATAAAAGATAAAAATTTTATAATTAAATAACTAATTAAAAAATAACAATAAAATTAAAATATTTATCTATTTAAAAAATAATTAATTTTTATATAAAAACCTTAAAAAATATTAATTATTAAAAATAAAAATATTTTATATAAATGTAAAATGTAAATTTTGTACGTAAATAATCTTTTTTTCATATATATTTTTTTTCTTCCTCGTAGAGATCGTGAAGAAATTGTGTAGTGAGTTAAAAGAACCGCTCACCGGAAGAGCAGATGACTCAGGGTGGACTCCGCTTCACTATGCTTCGGAACAAGGTTTCGCTTCAATTGTTAAATTGTTGCTAGAAAAGGATAAAAATGCAGCTTACATGGCTGACAAAGAAGAAGAGAAGACAGCTCTTCATGTTGCAGCTAGTAAAGGGAAAGCAAAAGTGATAGAGGAATTCAGGTCAACTTGCCCAGATTGCTTCGAGCAAGTTGACAAGAAGGGACAAAATGTCCTTCACTTTGCTGTAAAGGCTGATAGAAATAGAAGTGAAATTCTTCGAATAATCTTAGATAATGAATGCTTCAGCAACCTTATAAACGCAAAGGATAACTCTGGTGATACGCCTCTCCATCATTTGGTGAATGCTAATAATCCCTTGGCACTGGATCTTGTTTATCACCCAAAATTGAATGCACGAGTATTCAACAAAAAACACATGTCTCCTCTAGAAGTTATCTCTGATACAACGCCTGAAGACCCACTTAGGAAGGTGAGCATTGTTTTGTTTCGTTGCCTTAATTATGAGATTGAAATTAATTATATGATTACTTAACCGTTCAAAAAAAATTATATGATTACTTAATGCTCTCTTCCTTTGTTGCAAACTCACACATATATACTATAAAGTGATTTAATATATTCTCATGTTGCAGATTTTTGCTTTATTTGCTCTGAGATTTGTTGGCGGAACAACCAGTCGACAAATCAGACACGAAGATAAAGTCAAGGAAGGAGGGGGCATTGCTGATCAAAAAGGAAAAAAGGAAGGAGGGGGAATTGAAGATCAGGATGCAATGGTGAAGGATGAATCAGACCAGAAAAAAAAGGACGTACACGAGAAGGCCAGAAACGGAATGGAGCCTGTTTTCAGGTATCTGAAAGATATCAATTTAGTGATAGCAATTCTCATATCAACTGTTACCTTTGCAGCTGGTTTCACCTTACCTGGTGGCTATACAAGTGACAATAGTCCCAATCAAGCAGGCTATCCAGTTCTTATTAGAAAGCTAGCTTTCAAAGTGTTTGTTTTTTCAAACACGATTGCCTTTCTACTCGCCAGTTCTGCTGTATTCCTTCACCTGACTCGGTTACTGTATACGAAGGCGACAATCCTTGCTTCACAGATGTCCTTTATGTGCAATTCTTATGCCATGGTTGCAATGGTGCTTGCATTTGTTTCGGGGACGTCTGCAGTTTTAATGCCATATCCGTCCCTTGTTGCTGCTATTTGTGTCCTTTCTGCAGTTCTCTTCGCCTTCACATCTATCTATGAAGGTCTTCGAATGTTTTATTTCATTGTTCGGATTATGAAGAAAGCATATGAACGCCGTAAACTTCTGTCAGAAAATGTTGGGAGCAAGTACGGAATTGGTCTTGTTTAAACAGCGCGTGCTAATCAAGAGGGAATTTCTTTTCTACTTGCAACATTTCTATCCTCTGTGTTGCTTCCTAGAAGAGTCGAGAGACCAGCTGATTATGAAAGTGTGTTTTTCTTTTTTTTCTTTGCTGTTGCTTTGTGCAATTTATTTTAGGTAATCTACTTTCTTTTTTCTTTTTTAATAAAATGGAAATCTACTTTCACGTACCATTTTCTAAATATGTTTTGTCAATTTAACCAAAATAGTCACGTGCTCTTCACCTGATTGTTAACGCTGTTGATTTTACACCTCTGATGCTTACGTGACATGCTTACCTAGGTGGGTCGTCATCCTACGTGGCAAATA